ACACTATTACATGGCTTTGGGGAGGGGATTAATTACATATCCAAAATTTGGGGGAGAAATAAAGAAATCACTAAAAGGGTCATAGTTAATTCTATTACATCCCATAAGAAGTCACATTAATGATAAGAATAACAAATGCTAAAATAATAGACGCACGCGAATTGAAAGGACGTCTAAATCCTAAAAATGAAATCTTTTTGTCGTTTTGCTTTGTTTTTATGAAATAAATTGAATTCAAATAAATCCTAATTCTATTAATTTTAAAATTGAAAAAAGGGTTTAAATAAATATTAATTAATTTGTAGAATTTAATTAATTAATAAAAATGCTAACCTAATTTTATTTGTGATTTTTATTGGTTAAAGGAAACTGATTAAAAAATGTTGATTAAGCAAAACAAATAATACTAAAAAAACGTAAATGGGCCTCGCTGCAAAAAGGGGTTAGAGGGGTGCAAAAAAGGAATCCGTAGACCCACAACTAATGAGCCCAAGAGGCTGTGTTGGCTCGGATGAGAGAGACTCCTTGAAGGTGCATGGTAGGGTGTGCGCTTGAGGCATTTAGATCATGCTTGATGAGATCTGATGGTCAAGAATTTGAGGTATATGATGCACGTACGAATCTGCTTAGCATTGGATCTGCAAATGACATGTTAGAAAAAAACATAACACATGACTTAGGTATCGAACCCAAGTCCTTTCGACTGCACACATTCCCTTTTACCATCTGAGCTTTTTGTTCATTTGTTGATATAAATAAAATCATAACACTCTATTAGTAAACAAATCAGATATATATATATAATTCGAAAACCACACGTGCGTGCCACACAAGCCAAAAGGGCAAGGATGCCTGGATTTGAGATTCAAAGGAATCCGTTTCACATGCATTAGTGAAGGTATCCTATTACTTTATATTTTACATGTAACACATTAACAATCGCAAACGTCATGCAACATGAATATACAATCAAAATTAAATAACATATGAAGTGAATTTGAGATCGAAGGTCTGTTACTAGTGGAGTGCTTGCTTTGGATTAGAGAGGCCTGCAAAGGTGGCTTCGATTCTGACAAATTTGTCAGAATTTTGGAATCTTTGTGGAGCTCTTGTGGGGCAGCGTGCGTGTCTGGGTAAAAATTCTCGTGTCTAGGCAATGCGTGTGTGTATAGGCAAGTGTTTCCGTGGCAGTGTTTTTTTTCTTTTCTTTCGTCCCCCCTTGGCAATGTGTCTTTAGCTCTGTATTTATAGGGGGCAATGGTGAATGGAAATGGCAAAAAACAACCATTAACCAGACTTTGAAGGCAGAATTGAAATCCTTAAACAAGTTGCCTTTTTTGAGGATTCTCTATCCTTTTGAGTTTTGAGTGAACCTGGACAGCCATTAACCAGACTTTGAAGGCAGAATCGAAAGCCTTAAACAAGTTGCCTTTTTTGAGGATACTCTATACTAAAATCAAGCACATAAAGTTTGGTATTCATTTTGTTCGTAAAAGAGTTGTAGCAAACAAACATCAAATTTAAAATGATCCTGGTTCACCACAAATATAGCAGATGCTCTCACAAAGCTTTTGCCAACTAGCTAATTCCAAGAGTTTCATATCAAACTCAAAGTTCTTTCATCTCACCAACCATGAGTTTTGTAGGGTATTGGAAGAAACTAAAAGTAATGTAACACATCTAGAAAGACGTTTAGGATAATTGTAAAGTAGTTAAGAAAGTTAGTTACATTAACTTACTCTATAACTTGTAACTAAGGATGACAAAACAGATCTAACCTGTTAGACATACCTATTTTATTTGCACTACTCCATCTTATTTTCTACAAGCTTTTGCATACATGATCATTTACATAATTTTTTTATATTTTTAAACTTAAAAATTACAATACTCGCTAGTCCGACACACTCTCGCTTTTAATATGGGACGGAGTAAGACTTTAGGCCGTACTCTCAAATATACATGCTCTGTCCTATCTTATTTTTTACAGAATTTTATTGAGTTAACCTAAAAGAGACGGACATACCCGTCTGTTACTTACCAAAACTATGATCTGTATATATAGTCTTCAACACAATATAATCTATAATTAAATATTTTACAAGAAAATATTTTACAAGTTTTCTCGCTCTAATACTATTTAGTTCACTCATAATAATCTATAATTAAATAATCAAAATAACTAATCTAACATGGCCGACATCTTCTATCTAGCATACTAAAATAAAATGACATCACACCATTATCCTATACCCATCGAGTCTTGATCTTCCTTGAGCCTTTACTTACATTCTATTTCACTCTCATACACCCAAAAAATTCCTCATCAATTTGTATCTATGATAAGTGGGAAATGACTAAATTAGAAAATTCTTTTGACACATAAAGTGAGTTATTCCACTCACTAATAGTAGTCATCTCTTATTACTTAAAACAACCACATATTGGTGACATCTAAGATAATATAATTATTTAAAAAATTTGTATTAGATTGTTTAGCTTGTAAGTAATCAAAAAGTATGCTTGATGTTTCTAGTAAAGAAATCTCCCAAAAGCCATCGTTTATCTAGATTATCATATCCCTTTCATTTCTTTTTAAAGGGAGACCAAAAATATTTCTTCAAGTATGTCGTTTATTCCAATAATGTAATCTTTATTTGATTTATCAACGCCCTATTCATATCGACATATCACAACTAGTCATAATCATGCAGAAGTCATATAGACAAGGATTTAAAGCTTTTATTGTTATACGAACAATTTTCTATATTAATTGAATTAAGTAAATACCTCCTTTCATGTTATAATAGAAATTCATCTTTTAAATTGATTGAATAATTAATGTATTTGATCCATGGATCGGATACATTAATTATTCAATCAATTTAAAATAAATTTCTCTTATAATATATAATAGATAATGTATCAATTTAAAGTTTTGATTAATTAGTTATTAAATTGAATAGTACATTATTGAATTCTTAATAAATTATTATTTAAATAATTAGTTGATATAGACTCGAATATGAGAAGTTGTAAGGATGAATTGTTTTCAAATATTGAGAACTCAAATTGATTATCATCTCATAAACATACTATGATCATCAACACACTATATACAATTAGGCAAGAAAACAAAATTCATAGTGTTTAGATATCTACCTGAGTTCTTTTTGAGTTTAAAGAGAAATATCTGTTTTTGATTGGATTCGAGTTTAAAGAGAACTTTTCTATCAATTCAATACGACAATTGAGGGATAGGTAAAGTTAATTATTTCGGATGGTTTTTCTATTGGTTATGTTTCCAACCGAAGATATAAATAAAGTTGAATTTTTTAAATAAAAGTAAAGAGTTTTGCTAAGGAGTTTTTCTATCGATTATGTATCCAACTGAGGGAATGGATAAAATTAACTTTATTTACAAACAAATTAAAAGAATTTTGGAGGAAGGAAATTGAAAGCAGTGCACTGGCTATCGAGTGGATATCTATGAGTTTTTTCTATCCATTCAATTACCATCCGATGGATTAGATAAAGCAAAATCTTAAAAATTTCTAAAATGCCACTACACTTATTTTCACTTCAATCAAATGTTTTGGTGTTTCGATGAATAGGAGAGAAACATGTCTATGTATATTTGACGAAAATTTTTGTATTGGTGGATTTGAAGAATGGTGGTTTTAATGAGAGACATATAGTTTTTAAAGTTGCTTTCAATTAAAGGTTAAATATATTTTTGATACTTATAAATATCTCAAATTTTATTTTTAATCCCTATTAAAAAAATGATAAATTTTAATCCTTAAATTTTTTTTATTCATCCAATTTTAATCGCTGCTATTATCTAAAATTTTAAAAACTGTTTAATTACTCTTAAACTTTTAAAATTTTGAATTATATTTTTCATACGTGTTTAGTTTACTATAAAATGTTTCTTTATCAAATTTTAGAATTTTTTAAAATGAGAATAACTAAATATGATTTTTTTAAATTTCAAAAGATATTGATAAAAATAGTGAAAATCTCAACTTAGAAATTAAATTTTGAATTTCTTTTTTTTTCAAGAAATTTATTATAAATATTCTAAGCATGTCTATAAAATAATCATTCAAAAATACATATTGGTTTAACAACAAAGACTAAAATTACGTGCATAATAATTTTGTAGGGACTAAAACTTGTTATTATTTTTATAAGAACTAAAAATGAAATTTGAGATATTTATAGGGATCAAAAATATATTTAATTCTCAATTAAATAATTAAATATGAAAAATAGTGTTCCTAAAACTAACATATTTTTATATCATTTATCTTTGATGTTTTTGATTTTCTAACATAAAAAATAGTTAATCTTTTATAAATAATTCAAAAATTTATAAATAATAATATTATATTATCTAAATATATTAATATAATTTTAAAAAAAATTAATTTATGTTTTTGATTTTCTAACATAAAAAATAGTTAATCTTTTATAAATAATTCAAAAATTTATAAATAATAATATTATATTATCTAAATATATTAATATAATTTTAAAAAAAATTAATTTTGTGATTTAGAAGAGAATAACGACGTAAGTTATTGTTGTCTGCTTATCTTTTATTTCTTTTTGTAATCTCACGTTAAAAGATATATGATGAGGTGTCTTTGTTTATTAAATAAAAATCTAAATGAGGGACTTATCATGATTATTCATGCGTGTACCTTATCAAAACGAACTTTCTTTTTGATTTTTAATACCGTGCATATGTGTATAGTTTTTTTCTTCTTTTTTATCTTTAATCCATCAGATAGCTTGATACTACAGCTTTCACTTTTTCCATCTCATCAATTGCTTGTCTCTTGTTCAAAGTTGGTTCCTTTCTATCCCATTTCCTTTTCATGTCTCCATTATAATTTCAACTTTTTTTTATGTCATTATGTCATTACAAAGTTCACAACCATAGTTTAAATAGACACTAAAATAAGAGACCAAAGAGAAACACATAAGAGAAAATGGCTGATTGGGGTCCAATTTTTGTCTCAGTGGTGCTCTTCATTCTCTTGACTCCTGGATTGCTTTTTCAAATACCTGGTAGAGGCAGGTTTATCGAGTTTGGAAACTTTCAAACTAGTGGATTGTCTATACTCATCCATGCTATGCTCTACTTTGCTCTTGTTTGCATCTTCTTCTTAGCTGTTGGAATTCACATGTATGCCGGTTGATTAATACTGATCTCGAAAAACCATGAATTGTTGAATCATGTAGAATGTATTGTCGAGTTTGTTTTATTTGAATTTAGATATATATTACAAAAAAATCGAATTAGCGATTAAATTTAAAGAAGCAAAAGATGAAGCTTGATACTAAGTAGGGTAAATGTCATCTTTTTCTTCGATAAATTTTAGTCGTTAATTCAATTTTTTTTCTTATATATAGCGTGACCTCATTTTGGGTGGTTGATTTTGGTTGTATTATGATGATCTTAGTTTTATGTTTTTTCTTTTCATGTTTTGATATTGATCAAGTTTAATGTTGTAACAACAATTGATTTAAGAATATTGTATTTCATGCTTTTATATGTATTGGGTATCCGATGTTAAAAACACTTTTAACTTATGTACATAGTCATCTTTGTATAAAAATATATAAGATCTTACCATGTGATGTAACATAATTGAAATTGATTTTGGTTTATTGTGGCTCAATCGATTTTGATTTGATTGAACAATAATAGATGCAATTTGGAAAATAAGTTAAATGTTGTGATTTTGAAATAAAATCATTTAGCCATTTGTGAATAGAAGTATTAGGTATGAAAGAATATGTTTCTTATAAGTTATAACTTTGTGGATTGAATGATGTGTTATAAAGATATTTCATGTTTAGTGATGGATGGTTTATTGGAGTTCACCACACTTTTGAAGCAATTGTAGTTAAATTGAAACGGAGATTAATCATGTAAAAATATATAAGCTCTGATATAATTCAAGTTGAATAGTTTAAGTTTAAGTTTAACTAAAATTTGTTAGCTTATTTAGTATATAAGTTAGGTGTATATCAATAGTTTATAATTTAGTTTGTACAATTCAATTCAATAATAGAAATTTTATTTCCTTATTCGCTTTCTTCTCCTTTTACTAAAAGTGCCTTACGTACTAACAAATTAGTATCAAGAGTTCTAGTTAGATTTCTGATCGTATTTTCAAGAATCACACGTCAGATATTGTGTTTTCGGGATCGTGGATTATTGTTAATCCATCTCTGTGAAGATGAATGGTACTAATGGCATTCTGAATTCTCTTCCAATTCTTGACAGCAAGAATTAGATTCGATGGTGAAAACAGACATAATCTCCGTTTGGCTTTCATGAAACCCTAGAAGTGGTTATTAATGGTGTTCCTGCGCTAGCTGCGGATGCAACTGACACACAGAAAACCGCTCACAACGAGGCTAAGAAGAATGATTGTAAGGTTCTGTATTGCATTCAAACAATGATATATTCAATGAACTTCAATAAAATTGCTCATGCTTAATCGGCGAATGAGGCATGGGATATTCTTGTCAAGTACTATGAAGGAAGTGAGAAAGTTTAGGTTATCAAGTTGTAAACCTTGTGACGTCAATATGAATTATTGACGATGGGAGAAGACGAAAATAAGGGTGGGATTCTTGCTCTATAATTAGGTATATGATAAATGATATGTGGGGTTGGTTATATGAAATTATCGTGTGTGATTTTGTATGAAAGGTTGTTGTTTTGTTGCTACGGCAATGTTGTGTTTCTTGATAAAGTTGCAGAAATTCAATTGATGACTCTGTGGTTGGAGAATTATTTTATGTTGATATTTGTGTATTTGTGGTAATTGATGTATGTTGATAGAAATGATAACTAGATGTTTGATTGTGTATTATTTCATGAAGTTTGTATCTTGGAATTGAAACAAATGGGTTTTCGTACTGCACTTTACAAAATTCATAAAACTGTTTTTCACAGGGTGCAATCGATTGCAGCAGAAGAGAAATCGATTGCACTACTTAAAAATTGGGATTTTTGCTTCTGTTTCAGTAAGCAATCGACTTGCAGTTCAGAGCAATCAATTTGCACTGCTTAAAAATGTGATTTTTGGCCTCTGGAATAAGGTGCAATCGATTTGCACGTTAGTGCAATCGATTGCTCACTGTTTGACAGTATTTTTGAAAACTTGAAAACTCCATAACTTTTGAACCGTAACTTCGTTTGATGCGCTGTTCAAAGCGTTGGAAAGATAATGTGATGAACTATATTTTATAAGGAGTAAAATGAAGGATAATAAGGATAATTCTAGTACCCAAGTTAGGATAGAGTTAGCTTTCCCGCGTTGAATCGCCATGATGTTTTATGGTGATGAAGTATGATGATGACATGACGACCTTATGATAATGCTTGGTTCATAATAATAATATAAATGATAATGATGATGTAGTATTATAGTATAACAATTTGTAGAATTTTTGTAATTAGAAATAAGCATTTAGATAAGTAGTTAACCGGTATAGTCGAGAATTGTCCGAATAATTATGGGTAATATTATGTTGTAGGCCTATGGCCAATGTCGAATGGTTGTTAACATGTTGTTGTGACGTACTAAGTTGTAGGCTTATGCCAACGTTGTGTTAATTGTAGTTTTTGAAATATCAAGTTGTAGGCTTATGGCCAAAGTTGAATTATGGCTAATGTGAAATTGCATAGAATTTTAGATAATGAATTACCTCTATTTGCTGGTAACAATGGTAATGTAGGCTTATGCCTTGCGATGAATGGTGAATTATTGTTAATTACGTCGATGACGTTGTAGGCCTATGGCCAGTGAAGTAGTGATATAGGCGTATGCCTCGTGAAGTGTTTAATTATGTTGTTGCATGTGTTGTACATTCATACATTTGCATTTGTGAAGGCCTGTATTGGCGGATTTTGTGAAGGCCTGTATTGGCGGATTTTTTGATGGCCTGTATTGGCAAAATTATTTGTGAAGAAGGCTTATGCCTTGTGCCTCGAGATTACTGGAAATTTTTTTTAAGTTGGGAGTTCTGCTCCGATGGTACCACATGCATGTGCATTGTAATTGAGTCGCATTTGATGTTGCATCTTGAGTCGTGGTGAAGATAGATTTGCTGTTGCTTTATGTTGTTGACTTGTTGTGACAGGTATCATCTAAAGGTTGTGAATTAGTTGTTATGTTGTGTTAATGTTTTGTTGAGATTAAAGATGTTTGAAAGTTGTGAAGTGGTGATTTTATATGAACTAGTTCTGATATATTAATTATCATACATTCAATTATATAGTTCGATATCTCACCCATTCAGTTTGAATGTTTCCCTCTGTTGGTAAAGTGAAGGTAATCAAGAAGAATAGTTGTTACCCTCTTCAGTATTGAGTCGTTGTCATTGCTCTGATACGTAGCACTCGGGGGGGTGAATGCTTGATGTTTATTTGTTGATTATTATTTCTGTTGTTGAATCTTTAAGTTGTTTACATGAAGTAGTTGTTGTCTTGATGTTGTTTTAGTTGAATAAAGATGTTAAGTGAATTGAAGTTGAATATGTATATTTCGCTGCTTATCAATAAAAAGTTGTTTGATTTTAAAGAATAATTCAGGTTGTTATCAGTTCATCCGAATTAAGTGTTATGTATATGTTTTATATGCGATTAAATGAAGTTTGATTTCAAGTTGAAAAATGTAGCATCCTATTTATGTTGAACTCTGATTTTATTATTATCCACCGGGTAGAAATGGGGGTATTACACTTACCACGCCGGAGCACCTGGCCATTCAATTGAAGACTGTAAGCCATTCAGATACAAAGTTCAAGAATTGATTGATGCAAGGGTTATTGTGTTCAAACCATATAAGAATGGGAATCTGTTGCCTGAGTGATTGTTAATATTGCAAAAAATCTCCAGAATCAAGAAGTTTAGATTGAGTCAAGTCTCCTCAACAAGGGCAAGCTATTGTCTTTTGCTGCATTTTCATCTGTACTTTTACTTGTTAGTTTAAACATTGTTCTCATGTATGAACTTGTTTGTTTTTTAACATTAATTTTAATGCAATGAGTATGTTTGTCTTGAAGTAATCCATTCATTTACACACATTCATTCTTTTTCACTCGTGAAAGATTTTCCTTGCATTATGATACCGATTGTACTAGTCTTTTGCTTAGGCAAAAGATTGGAGGGAGGAGGACGACAATTGAAAAATGCAAAAAAAATCTATGGTTATATGCTTTTAAATAGAACCTTGTTGAGGATGTACAAGCATTATTTCAATTCCTAAATACCGGAGATATAAGGGAGTAAAATCCTCGTTAACCCCCTTTGAGCCTTGAAGTAGGAGTTTCTTTTCTAATTAGAAAAAAACCCTCATTTTAAATCTAGGGGCAGGGTTGTATTCAATTAATCTGATCAAGCATTAAAATCTCATTAGGAGTGTGCATGTAAGGACCAACCATGATGGTTATCCCTCACACAACAGAAGTGTGCATCTAAGGATCAACCACAATGGTTATCCTTCACCAGTCAGTATTGTACCCCAAAATTCGCCCGCTTCGTTTTTACCCAAATTGGCTTATACTTCGTCATCATACACGTACATATATGTCATCAGGTTAAGTAATCATGGAATCAAGGTGTTTCTCTGCAAGAAAAAGTTACGAAAATTGATTGTTCCAGTAAATAGCATTGTGAAGTAGAACTCAGAGTTTTCAAAGTTTAAATGTTTTTCACACGTGTTTCGAGCTATCCAATCAACAGCCAATCAATTCATCATTATATCAAGCTCTTATGCATTCCAACATGCTTTGATTTGTGCAGGAATTCAGGAGTTTCATTTGATTTGCGACAGTGCAGGAAGAAATTCAGTACGGTGCATTTCAAGCTAAAAAATTCACAACTTGAGATCAGAAATTGGTTTTGGAATGATTCTTCAGTCATTAGAGCCGTCTTGAGGTCTTCTTCAATTCATCTGATCATGTCGAAGTCTAATTTTGTGAGGAATGTTTTCTAAAGCATGAAACACCTGAAATGCGCTATACAATGGATTTACCGTTTCTCTAGTTTTCGGATGCTTAAAAATTCGTGACTTCTGACTGGAAGATTATCTTTGAGTGCCTCTTGGAGCATTTGAACCGTGTTGTTATTTCCTTTAAATTTTGTGTTCGGCTCGGAAGGCAATTCATTGAGGAAAATCTCTGAATATACGAGTACTTTGAGGTTATACGGTGCAAAAACAGTGAAACTAATGTGTTGAACCATTATTTTTCATATGTTCAAAAATTCATAACTTTCGCATGGATCGAGGTTTTTGAGTGGTTCCTTGGGCGAAAAATCTATTTTGATTTTATCTCAATCTGTATGTTCATGTTAGGAGCTAATTCTTTGCAGAAGGTTTCCAAAAGTGCCAATTACCATAAAAAATTGCATGCCAAAATTGTTTTCTACCAGACTATTTTTCGATATTGTAAAAATCGTAACTCTCTCCATTTTTATCGTAACGGGACGATTCTTGAATCGTGAGATCACAAATTTTATAAGCTTCAGTTTTGATTCATAACTAAGAAAAGTGTGCACTTCTGAGTATTGGATAGTATCCTTATATCTTTTGACACTCCTCTGCATTAGAGGTCTTAGGAATCATTAGAAAATATTTAAAAATTGATCCAAGTCATTAAAAGCAGTTTTTTTGTGTTTTTTATTGCATGTCTAAAAATATGTATATTTTCGGTCGACACATTTAATGTTTTTAAATCGTGTAGCTTATGTAAGTCTCAGGTCGACACGTGCATCATTTCAGGTCGACACATATTGAAGCATTTCTGAAAATGCAGAAATTCCTTTTTTATGTGTCAACATATCCAACCTTCAGGTCGTTACATTTACTATCATTTTAAAGTATGTAGCCTCTGTAACTTTCCAGTCGACACATGGATCTTCATAGGTTGACACGTATTGTCCAAAAATCACGTATGTGTCGACACATATGACTCTTAGGTCAACACATACTATTTTAGTTGGTCAATTTTTTTAATTTTTTTATTCCGAATTTATCCATTTTTTCCCAAAAAGTTCCAAAACTATAAATACTATTTCATGCATCATTCCAACTTGTTGAAAACCATAAAATTAGACTATTTCTCTCTTCATCTTCAACCTCCAATATATGCATACATACTAACATTACATTGTAACAATGTTCCATTGAGGTTCCATCTAGACGAGGATTGCTAGTGTTTAATTGTGTATTGGGTGCAGTTTTGTAAGAGATTTTATCCAGGAAAAACCTCGGGTTTGTCC